AAGAAGAAGAAGAAGAAGAAGAAGAAGAAGAAGAAGAAGAAGAAGAAGAAGAAAGAGCAGAAGGGAGGAGGGTGAGAAGGAGAAGGAATGGGGTTCATGAGGAGGAAAACGAAAGATGGTACATTTTAAAAAATACATAGAAGTGAAATGTTTGGATCAGCGCAAGGTGCACAAATTGTTCTGTACCTTCAAAGATTATAGATGTAAGTTCCTCCTATCTTTGGGCCTAAAATGCACCCTGTCTTTGATGTCTTGAGTGTTTAAAAAATAGATTAAATGTCAACAAAAAGAGAAGAAAAAAGTTACCCTCGTATAATCTCCATACAGGACTCCTACCGCCATAGCCTGGCCCATAAACAGAGGTATCAGCAACACCATCCGACTGTCGACCACCATCTTCATGCAGCCAAACATCTCTGAACAGCCGCCAGTGACGTTTGAATCCTTCTCTGGATTCTTCAACTTGGGGAGGAAAAAAGCTGTGACCAGAAAGCCCACAATGTTACAAGCTAAGAAAACACCCAGTAGAATGTATACCACGTCTTTTTCAGGCTCTTCTACTTCAGAGGAAGAACTTGTGTTGGATCCCGTGTCTGCAGTGTCACACACATGCACGCCACAAACTTTAGGCTCGTTACTGTTCGTGGAGTTGTAACTTCCAGATGACAAAACGAAGGAAGAAATGAGATTACCTGTAATTTGTGTCATCTCGTAGAACATAAAAAAGATTCCGTTGAACTTGCTCAGTACGGCATGCAGCGCCTCGCTCGTCGGGATGGCAGAGAAAAACATCTTCGCGTAAGATTCCCCGGCGGAAGTGATGTAAATACCCTGCGCAGTCCACATCGGCGCCGCAATGGCACCCATGAGCGCGGACGCTGGAATAAGCGTCCCCCACGTCGGGTAGAAGTTGCAGGCGGTGTAGATGGCGTGGATTAACCAGGCAGTGAGCATTACATTTTTCGCGCCAATCAGACGAATAAGAGTTGGCGCCATAGTCCCGCATATGATAATGGTACCGTAGAGCACAGACAGAGAGCTCACTCCGAGATTCTCTTCCTGGTTCAGACTGCTTTGGAGATTCTGTATTGCCAGGTAAGCTGTGTAGACGAAGGTGAAGGACAGAGATAATACCAGACATGTGTTCATTGGTGAGGACACGCACGTGGGCGTTTCAGCGCCCGGTATCTCTGGGGTACAGCTGACTTCGGCGTCTGCCGTTTTGTCTTTCTCTGACATGGTGGAAGACATGGTAGCGGAGGAAGTAACTTCCGGGGGATGAAGGAGAGATTCTCTTTCCTGGTGACAGAAAAGTACTTGTAATAGATATTCGTAACGAAGTTTTAAAAAAAAACAAAAAAACCAATGAAATAGGTTTTAAGGGGGAACATAGAACATCTAGATGAACGACCGATGCACAAAAGACAACATAAATATTCCAGTAAGAACGAATAGAATGAGAGCCAAAACAAAAGATGACAGATCTGTCTGTCTGTCTATAAATTTTTGTTTCTGTCTCTGTCTCTGTGTCTCTCTCTAGCTCTTTCTCTCCCTCTCTCTCTCTCTCTCTCTCTCTCT